CCATCACTGAATTATAAGCTTGTATTCCGTGCTGGTTTATCCAGTTTGCATTCGGAGTAATTATCAGTACTGGATCAAATTCATCTGCCTGAACGATTTGGGTCTCATAAATTTGGATTTCCTCGTTAGAGGCCTCCGGAAATATCGTCTTAAGTGCGTCTTTAATAGGTACGAGCATTCTAAAAACAATAAAAATATGAAAAGTAATCCTTTGTTGAAAATAAATAAATTACCGCAATATACTTACGTGCATACTTCTGAATTAGTAGCTATTGAGATTATCATTATCAGTATCGGTATGATCACGTGAAATCTAAGTTTATGATTTATCGATATCTCACCTTTAAACAATTTCCTTAACTGGAACATTACAACCACGTTAACGATAATCATGGCGAGGAAGGTAAAAGGAAAAGCCTAGAGAATGTGGAAATTGGAAACAAGATAGTAAGGTGACGGAAGAGTTAAAAAGTTGATAAAGTGCGTGAAAATACTTATACAGACCAACCAGCCTAGAAGTGAACACGTTGGCAATATTATGGTATATGTAAACCAAATTATTATAATAAAAGGTGAGAAGCATGAAAAACTCTCAAAAATTTTTTTAAAATTCATTTTAATTGAGAGAGATGTAAGAAAAAGAATTTATTGCTAAGGTGGCAATTTTTTTTATATAAAAAAGTAATTAATTTATCATCGATCAAGGTAATATAACTAACTATTTGCTGAGGTTTGATAGATTCGATAATCTTATTAACTTTTTTTAACTTTTTTTTTTTTTAATCAAACATCGCGTAAAGAGGGAGGGATAGGAAAATTATAAAAGGAACATTGGATAATATTAGATAGACGTTGTCCGTAGGCATCTAAATATATAATATATAGAAAATCATGTTTCTCGAGCATTTTATCAATGTAAAATAATACAGTATATTTGTCTTAGTATTTATTTGTAGATGACAGTCTCGAAATATAATTATTTTACGCTATTAGCCATAATATAAACATGTAATAAACGCGCAGTACTTCGGAAGACATCACATTTTTTTTTCTATCCGGAATATTGATCAATGATTGGGACAAATGGAACCAGTTAATGCTAGGTTAATTGTTAGTATAGAAATATTTTCGACAAACGAAAATCTGGTGTGGTCCGCAGGCAATAATTGTCCGGAGCGAAGCGAAGGACAATTAACTGTACGGTCATACACAATGTTGTGTTATCCCCTGCATTTTCCTTCCTACTTACGTCACCTTTTTACCCCTGCATTTTTCTTTTTTGCTTTTGTACCATTCATCATACTTTATTGATAAGACAGTTATCCCGAGAAAATACTTTTTTATGATGATCGGCACTGCGTCAGACAATTTTTCTACTCTTTTCTAAACTATACCTTAATAAACTTTTATTTGAACTTAAAAAATGTAATTTTGCTAGTTTACTTAGAACTTCAAATTGACTTATCCGCATTATTTTGCAAAAATGCGCCACATACATTAAACCATATAATCGGTATAACCTGGCACACATTTCATATTTGCAATCTATAAATCATATATCAAAAAAGTATAAATGTGAAAATCAGTTATTGATGGTGATTATCTAACCTTCTGGTTATATTATGAATTATTAAAGAATATATCTTGAAAATTAACTTAGTAATATGGATCTTGATACTAAAAAGAATATGATACAGAATAATAAAAGAAGATTCTAATTTCTTATTAAAATTTATGATTTCAAAAAAAATTTAATATGTATGTATAATCAATTCAAAGTAAGTTTGACAATTCATAGTAATTTTAAAATAAATTAATAATATTTAAGAAAATAATGTAAATAATGTAAATCACAAGCTTTTTTAACTAATTTGAATATATAAAAATTATCTAATTAATTTATAAAAATTATAAATAAAAAATCCAAATATTAATCCAAATTTTGAATTTAATAACTAATTTAATAAGAATTTTTAAGGTATAAATTTTCTGAATATTTTATGATAGTTCTTTATTGATATAAAAATTAAGTTATAATAGTCTCAAAAAATATCAATAGCTTTAATATTTGTTGTGATTACATATGAAATCCATGTTATAGGTTTGGATGGATTATAATTTTCACTCATTTTGGAATTATTAACTTTGAAATATTATTGACAGGCTATAGATATACCTTTACGTTTGGCTTTTTTGATAAAATCATGCATTGACTTATTAGTTATATGTCTTATAAGAAATTTATATTTTATATAATCTATAATTTATATTATTAATTAATCAAAATATATAAATTGCAAAAAAATTTTTAATAATAATAATATATATATTTTAATAAATTTATAATATATAGTATACAATTTTTTATTTTATTTTTAATAAAACAAAAAACAAAAAAAAAATATCAATATGAAATATATAATGAATAAAGGGGAGGGGTTTTTTTTTTTTTTAATAATGTATGTATATATATATATGATATTTGAGTTTCCAATAAATACAAAAATGAAAAAAATTGGAATTCATTTAATCGAATTGTACTATTTAACAAAAAATAAATAAAATAAATAAATAAATAATAAATAATGAAAAAAAAGGTAAAAAAAAAATACAATTAATGTTAATAATAAGCATCTCTTTTTTTTCTAAAAAAATCATAATGAAAAAACCAAAAATTGATCAAAGAAAAATATATATAAAATAATAAACAATAAAAAAATCTACAAAAGAAAAATAGAGATTTGGTGATTAATTGAGATCCTCTAATTAAAACAAAAAAGAAATAGAAAGAAATGATTTAATTGTCGTATATATAATATAAATAAATAAATAATTAATTAATATAAAAGAGGACTCAAAATAACCATAAAAGAAAATAAAATAAAAATACAAAAATAAAATAAATTAAATAACGAACAATTACAAATTAATTAATTTTTGATTGATACATACCATCCAACAACAAGTATTGGCAAATGACCCTGAAATGATCTCAAAATGATCTCAAATGACATCATTTTTATTATAAATTTCAGGCCAAAACGACCAAGATCATTTGAACATAATCAATGACCTTATGATTTGCCGCCACTGCCAACTACTGCTACATTAATTATTATTTTTTAAAGCTTACATTTACTAATTAACTCTAAATTTTTTTTTTTTTTTTTACTATTCTGTAATCCAATGGCTTGCTTTTTTTACATATTTATCTGTTAATACTCCTAAATCTTTTACTACGAATCTACAGATTACATTACCAAAAAAATCTGCAAATTTGTGAAGTCGAGAAAGAATTTGTTTATGATGATGATGATATGGTGCTTGTAAAGAAGTAAAATGACGTATATAATTCTCTATTCAAAAAATAAACCACATTAGTTAAGAGAAATAAATAAGGAGACATCTTTTTTTTAAACACGGGAATCGTATTTACTCACCAACAACTCCTGCTTGTTGGAAAACTTTTAACAAGACGTCTACATAACCATTAGCTTCTTCAGTACGAACCATAGCGTTTCCCATACCCATCCGATCGAGACCACGAGATAATTTAGAACCCCAATTCATTAATGAACTCGTGCTTTGTCGACCTTTACCATTAGTCGACTCAACATAATTTAATTTACGTGCTAGAGAATTTTGAAGGCCCTCTAGAATGGGATCAATACATTCCAGCTCCTATCGAAAAGAAATATAGAATGAGTTCGAAATTTTTTTTTTTTTAAAAAAAAAGAAGCATAAAAAGGATAGAACCATAGCTAACAATACAAACCTTCGCTAATTTATCCATATCATTATACGTTGTTTTTGATAATTTCATTAAACAGGTCGATACGACCTCACAACTAGACATTTTAGTATCTATAGCAACCAACTTAACATGTCCTTGTAACCATAGGTTTCGAGGAATAAATAATTTCGGAGTTAAATAACCTCCCGTAGTCATTGTACGTTCTAATTTTTTCATTAACCAAAACGGGTTTAAATGAAGATCATTGGGTGTGGGTTCGAATAACCCGTTATTAGATGACATGTGAGGATCATCATAATAAAACGTATTTGGAAGAGGATTTATCAAGCAAGCCGAATAACTTGCATCATTATGTTTAGTTGATAATGAAGGCGTCTCACTACGAAAATATCCTGTTTGAGGACCAAATCCAGGACTACCTAAAGGAGGTGAAATAATACTAAAACTACTAATCCAAGGAGAAGACGGAGTTCCCGGTATTTGTGATAATGGATTAGATGAAGGTTGGGAATTACTGTTAAAGAAACGAACCGAACCGATTTTTTTAGGAGTATTTCCAGGATTTGAAGCTGTTCTTCTTGGAAGAACAGTAGAGTTGTTTGTAGTAACTGCAAGGTTGGGATTAGAAGGTATACGAGTAGGTATTATGCGAGAACTATAATTATTTTGTAATGGAAGAGGAGCAGGACGACGACTCTGAGGTAAAGCTTTACCAAGCAATTTTTCCATAGAAGAGGATGAAGGCCGAGTAAATGAACTGGGAACAGACTTTACAGATACTTTATCGTCGTCTTCATCAGACATTGTCTGTGACGATGAGCCCAACATCGATTCATTTACGGGTTCATGTAGTGAAGATTGGAGAGCAGCTGATTGTTTAGTCACAGATGGTGGTGGTACTATGGTTGGTGAAGTAGATCTTCTTCCCATCAATGCACTTGTATCTGGAGGGGAGAATACTGAAGCTTCATTCTGACGAAATTGATCGCTTGGACTAGGAGGTGTTGTAGGAGGAGGGGCTACTTTTGGTGGTGGTGGAGCTACGAATAAACGATTACTGCTGGAAGAACCAAGTCTTAATGATGATGATTTTGATAATGAGCTAACTTGTGACGTAGCTGATGAGTTTTTTTCTTCCATTCCTGTTTGTTCTTGTAGTTGTTGTGATGAAGAACCTTGATTTTGGTAACTCAAGTTTTCTTCCATGATCTCTGAACTTGCACCATACGAATCAGAACTTTGTAAATAATCATTAATGGTATTGGAAGAAGAATCTATATCTTCAGAACTAGAATCTAAGTCCGAAGACCTAGAAGTAGATTCTCCATTATCACTTGAATCAGCAACGGTCTTTGCACCGTCTAGGGAAACCTCAAATATTGATGCCGGTGTCGTTTTGTCAGATACCGTTGATATCCAGGACCTTGAAGTTGAGACCGAAGCGTTTGATCGATGTGACAACGATAATCTTTTAGGCTGAGGTGTAATGTAATCCACAGTATCATTACGATTATGATGACCTACGCCATTTGTAAGGACAGTTCCGTTGGCTAGATGCGTTTCATTATTATTATGTGAATTGTCTATCTTCGCATCAACATTTTTTTGTATTATTATTGATGATGATGATGATGATGACGATGATGATGATGATGAAGATGATGATCGCTCTACTTCTATAGATTTACCATTAATATTTCGTATCATCGATGAACTTGATGTTATTTCATTACCATCTGTTTGAGAGTCATTTTCAGATACTGAATTTTGCCCAACAGAATCTGCTCTGTGAAGTGAATGAGCATTCACGCTTGAATCTGTAGAATTTTGTGTTGTGATATCATTTTCATCATCATTCTGCTCTGAAGAAATCAAATCGTTATCGTTATCGTTATCTGACGAATCAACTATAGTGGATAATAATCGTATCCGGTCAGCGTATGTGTCATGCTAGTGATAAACAAAAAATGATGATAAATTAAAAAATAAAAATAAAAATAAAAATAAAAAAAAAATAAAAAAAAATAAAATAAATAAAATAAAAAATAAAAAATAAAAATAATAATAATAATAATGATAATGATAATATACGTGTTCTTTTAAATAAAAAATCAAAAATCAAAAAATGAGGCAAAATGATTCTATATAAAACTTATTCACAAGTTCAATAAATTTTTTTGTTTATACGTTTGCAATAATGCCACACACCATTGACCCCCAAGCAAATCATTAAATTAATCTAATCCCTTCCCAAACAATTAATTTAAAACCTCACATTCATACTTCAAAAGTCAGTTAATAATGAAAATATAATTAAATAATTAATATAAAAAAATAAATTAAAAGAAATTAAAAACGTAAATGCACTCACAATTAATTGTAACCTCCGACGATCAGCCTCGTTAACAGCTTTATCTATAACTTGAAATAAAAGTTCCACAGTTTGTTTATACGCGTCCAATGCGGCGGCGACATTATTTGCAGCATCGAATTGTACAGCTGCCTGCGCTTTTTGGAGAGCTATTGATAATATAGATTTAGACTGTGTTCGAGGTGAAGGAGGATTTCTTTGTCTTGAACTTGTTGGAGGTGTAGGAGGGGTGAGATGATGGGAAGTAGTATTTGTTGCCATGGTTTATATAAAGTATGTATTGAAAACGGGTGTGATTTTTTATTATTTATATCGGTAATAAAGGTAGGTATTAATCGTTACTTTGGTGGGGTTATTTTTTTTTAAAAAAAAAAAAGGGTAAGAGGGGAAGAAATTTTTTTGTTGTGCCGCTTTATTTTGTTCTCGTTTCTACCAAAAGTCCGAGTGTTACGGATTTTTTCTTTATAAAAAGAAAAAATATTTTTATAAGCAACCATACGCCAGCCTAGCAGCGTTAAAGTGCAATCTAAAAGAGAAGAGAAAATAAAGAGTAGTGAAAGAAGGGTTAAAAAATGCTTTAAAAGATCTCTCGGCTTTGTATGGTTCAAAACATGACGAGAAAGAAAAAGCTTTAATGAAAAAATATGATAGAACAAATTCTTATTTTGGTCAAAATATGTAAGTAAGTTGGACTATGGGGGGAATTATTTGTCGAGCGACACAAACAAAAAACTTTTGAACCGAATTACCGTTAAGGAAAACCATGCAAATGTGGCAACAATGCCTAAAAACTACAAAAATTTTGAATTACGAAATGTAGTATTCATAAAACATTAAAGCATATAGAGAAATACAAACATCTTTTTTAGGAAATTTTATAAGCGGAATTCAAAAAAAAACTAATTGGTAAAAGTAATATAATAAATAGTAAAAAAGGTAAATCTTTGTCTTTAATTTTCGTCTTACCACAATGATCAAGGTTACGACATGATTTTGTTAAATTATGTAAATTATTCATTTGTTGAACTTAAATTAATGTCACGCCACCCTTCTTCTTTTTTTTTTTTAATTCGCAGGAAAATATTTCTTTCTTTTTTTTTTCAAATTTCTTTATCTGTTCCCCCCTCCTCCCTAAACAAAAAAGAAAAAGAAAAAGAATAAAAAAACCAACCGTGCATGAAGTTTTTCCGTAGTGAAATTCTATTAAAACCATGAAAAAAATAATTATTGTTTGTTTATAAAATTATGCAGTTATCAGTAATACTATTATATATTTGACATCCATATTCATTCAGTAAATGAAATAAAGTGTGACTCGAACATATACGGATTTGGATCGATTCTAAGATTTACAAATTTAAATTTGAGGACCAATTATAAATTTCAAAAAAAATTGAAGTACTATTACGATGTGCAATTTCTCCGATCCTATAACAAATTTTTGTTTGCTTATGTAATTTTTTGGTTTTTAGCTAGCATCTAAAAAAAGACTTAGCCATGTATATCATCTTCCCGATATCGCGCCAAGCCTCCAATTTTGATTAATTTGGAAAAACAAAGCCTCGGGTTCTTTTTTTTTTTTTTAAAAAAAAAACGATTCTATCCGTATGTTACAATACAAATCAAAAGCCTCTCATCTTTTGAGTTTTAAACTTAAAGCACTGGATGTTGTTGATTCGAGCAATTTTTAAAAACTAAAAAAAAGTATTTCGAAGATCATATATGGATTACTTAACTAATAAAACATGTCCAAGGATTAATAGATCTGAAGACTTTATATTTTTTGATCAATCGTCAGAAAAGTTATTAGTATCTTGTAGGTGAATACTGATACACTTATAATGCAGACCATTTCAAAATGAATGATTAACGTATTCTTTAGTGCATACAATAGGATGGATGGCGGCGTCACTATTTACCTTACTATCTTGCATACTTACATTTTGGTTAATAAGACAACATGTAAAAAGTTATAACAAGGTAAAAAAATAAAGTAACAAATCTGTTCAAAGGATTTTTTTAAAAAAAATGCTTAACAAAAATCTGCATTAGCCTGACGAACAACGATTGATTATAAGATTATTAATGATGGTTCCGATTTATACAGTATTCGATTTACTATCATATTTTTTTATAAGACAGTCGGTTTATTTTGCAACAATAAGAGACGTATATCAAGCAGCTAGTATCATATCATTTTTTAATCTTTTATTAGAATATTTAGGATCATCCGAGCATATTCGTACAATAAAATTATTAAGGGTTACTTCCACCTCAGCTCCATTTCCATTTTGTTGTTGCTCGTTTAACCCGTCAAAACACACCTTATTATTACCAGGATTGAAATTAGGTGTATTACAATATGTATTGATATTATATTTAACAACCTTAATTGCTTTACTACTACAATTCTTGGGCGTGTTTTGTAAAGAAAGCTGGAGTATCTATTTTCCCCAAATTCATTTGATATTGGTACAAACTGTTAGTTCTCTGATTGCTAATTTATGTTTGGTGGGTGTTCATTCGAATTGAAGTGAGGTGAATTTTCAATAACGTTTTAATAAATCTCATATTTCTTTATCTAGAACTTTTTTTTTCAAGCCGTGAAGGAAGAATTGTCTCGTCATCAATTAATCTTAAAAGATATTTGCATCAATTGGGTAAATTAAATTTAATTGCGCATTCATTCTAAAATTAAAAAGTTAAATTCAACTTTCAAATAGGCACTCTTCTTTGTCACGTATCAAGGACACGCGTTAGCCATAGCCGTATTCGTGGGTATGTAGATCAAATAATTTCATTAAAACGAAAAAAAAATGATTTTTAATGTTATATACACACACAAATAGGACTCATAGGGCCAACGGATTATTTGTTAGTAAATGCATATATCATTATCCTCCAATGAGCATTCACAACCTTCTTTTAACAAACCGTACCCCACATTTTTTTTTTTTTTTGCGTATTGAAGGACGGCCGATGATATATCGACAGCAGTTCAGTCGGTTTTGATGTCGATGGAATTCTTTTTTCTATCCATATTACAGTTGAAAGCATTCTCTGCTGCGGAATACACGTCGATAACTGGCAATGCATTATCGTCGCCTAATAATTCATTTTCTTACAAACAGATGCCACCTTATACAACTCTAGAAGTTTTATTAGATGCTTTAAATCCGTTTGACACTATTATGGATCTAATTTATGTGATAAATTTTATCTTTAAACATATGATAATGAGAAGACCTGAACCTGCACCACCACATCATGAAGTCAAACGATTATCGAATTTAAGATCCGAATCTGATTTTGTTCCGATGATTTCGAATTTAGATTTAGGTGAAATTAATAATAATAGTAGGATTATTGGTTAATGAATACAAAGATGAAATATTTTAATGAGAGAAATTAATTCATTTTCTTAAATATTTTGTGACCTGTGATTGGGCTAAATTTCACAAATTCTTTCACTTCCGACTTTGGAAGATTGTAATAAACCGACTATGGAGCACATGATAATTATAGTTAATTTCAAACTTTAAAAAATGAGGATCTCGGATGTTTATCATGCAAAATAAAAGAGATCACCTGCGTAAAATTTATTTTACCTACTTATTTTATGCATCCTATTTAACAAGATTGCGAAATTATTAATTGCCTTTTATTCTTTTATTTTTAATATTTAAAATCTTACTTAATTTGAAATGTAAAATGCTTTTTGATCGAGGTAGGTTTTCTTGCTCTTCATACCATATTTATAACAATCATCTCAATTGTCGAACGATTTAATCAAACCTTATTCGAAACCTTAGCAAAATTTGCTAATGAAAATGGGACACCTTTATTCATTCACAAACGACAAACGACATAGTACTTTTTTTTTCAAGGTTAATTTTTTGCACGTTTGGTATTCTTTGTGTGACATATAAGAGGTGTGTGACCATTAGGATTTCCATAACTGTAAAAATAGTAAAAAAATCAATTATATAAATGCTTCAGATTAAGCTGTTGTATCGTATCAAGCAGTAGAGGGTTGAATCTTAACAATGGTAAACAGTGTCAGTTAAACTTTTGTAATGTGATTTATTTATTTCTCACTTCAAGAAAAATTTTTCGTTGGAAAATTCTAATCTGTCGATCCTGTCCTAATCTTCTCCGTAACATTGTAAGATACTTGATTTTATGCAAATATAAATAAAAAAAAATTGTTTCACTTATTTTAAACGTATACATTAGCCAGTATCATCTTGATCCATGAAAATATTTTTTTAAGCTTACTAGCTCATCCACGAACGAGACTTTTAAAAATTTTCTCGAGTTGGTGTTTATAATAAGTTACGTATAGCCAATTAATAAATGAGAGAAAATAGAGAAAGGAGGTAAAAAAAAAAAAAGTAAGGAAGGAAACAGAGATGATAATTGTTCAATTGGAACGATAAAAATCCCCTTGAGGAATAAAAATAACAAAGTTCATCACTAAACATTATATCATTATTTTCATTGATACGTAAGAAACATGAGTTATATTTTGCCGATGCATGAAGTTGATGTCATAATTTTTATTGATTATTTATCTTGTCGCGTTTCATTGATTACGTAACATACAATAATTTATAGGCGTTTATTTTTTCCTGTAATACTTCAATATGAATTCTAAAATTAAATATTTAAAAAGGTACTTTGTTATATATATATGGTGATTTTGATCAGCATTAGAATTTTTACTACTTGGAAAGTTTCATCTAAGAAGGTCCTAGGTCACAGTAATAAATATTTCAGCTAATATATCTGTTTGCTACAATTGGAAATATCCCGATATATATTATTAATCATTAAAAAATTTCCCCTATTAACTTATCTGTTATAATCTAAAAGCAAAGACGATAAGTAACGTATCGTCCACTAGTTTCGCTAGGTCTCATAATCTTAAAAACCTATAGAATAAACATGAATAAGTAAATTACAGTATTCGTTCTTTCAATTATACCAATGTTTATCAAGAAAACATACTTGTCCTCGTTTCAAACCATAATATTTTGCAATGGGATCTGTTGCTTGTACTCGTGGCAATTGGGTTTCCTTTAATCGGCTGATAACAATCGTCCACGATATAATTAGTATTATTAGTTTAAAAAAGGAAAATCGCATATTTAGAAATATCTACACTTACTATTTAGCAAGTAATGTTTTCTTTTCTTCGTCAGAAAGCACGTAATGTTTGGGTACAAGCTGATGAGATGTAATATTGATCATCAAATCCGCTTCTGAAAACGTATCGACCTCGTAACGTCTTGTTTCTCGCGTGTTTATAACTTGTATTGCCTATTGAACAATAAGATGAAAAAGATTGACACAAATATAGATCTTTATCATAAAATTTATATATTTATTACCTTATTAGCCGCTGCCGTGAGTGTACCAGGAAAAACAATGATGCCACGATTAACTTTTGAATCCATCATTCGTTGACATAAGCTAAGTTATTACAAATAAATTAGAAAAATAATTAAAAAATAATTTCAACAAATCTATCAATGATAAGATATATCACTTACATTTTAAGGTACTTTACACCAACAGGTTTTTCGTCAGGAAACGTTACAAGCAATTGTTCATTTGGATTATCATTCTTTTGAACTTGAAACATCATAGATTCTTTACTTTTTAATAAAATATAATCACAGTTAATTGTGTTAGACAAATTTCATTAATTAAATTTTTGAAATTAAACGAAAAAACTTACACTATCAAACCATTTTTCATACAACGCTCTCGAAATAAGTTCATATCAGTATGTGTATCGTGGTTAATTACATAACCCTATAGGAAAAAAAATGTAAAAAAATCATAATATCACATTTTCAACTCTTTATATAATAAGTACCCGTTCCTTTACCATTTCGTGCACCGTACGGTAAACACGAAAAAGGCGAGCAATTTCTGAATCAGAGGTGCTAGGATCTTTGTTTTCTCTATCCATTTTTAAGGTTTAAGTGGAAGACGATGTTACACGACCGTGGATGATCTTATAAATTTCTGATGATTTTAATTAAATTACCAAGAAGAGAAGATAAATATTACGTAACACTTTGTTTACTTGGTCGTACAATCATTTAATAGTAATTTTGTGGAACAAAAGATAAGGATATAATTTGGAATTTTAGAATATCTGGTTTCACTTCTCTTTCTAAACTTAAATTTTGTTCTTTAGGTATGAAATTTTATTTTTTTATTCAACAGCTCAAATAGAGCTAGAAACAATATTTCAATTGTTATTTAGCATTAGTTGTAATATGTTTTAAGATATATTTGTTTTAACAGAAAAAGAATTTTCATTATCTAATTATCTGATTATTACGTCATGTTACGATAATATATATTTTTTATGTTTATCGTGTGGTTTTAAAACAGTTAAATAATTAATTTTAAGTCATGCCTCCCGAAACCTCGCAAGAACGTGAACCTCTCCTCGGCGAGAGCAATGAGGGACCATTTGCGTTTACCCCAGAACAATTTAGTAAATTGATAGATCCAAAAAATCCAGATTTGCTTAAACAATATGGTGGCACGAAAAAAATTCTTGAAGGATTAAGAGTCGACCCTACTGTCGGTATTAGCTCTGATGAGGGATTAGAATCTGGCAGTACAAAAAGCAAACCTTTTCAAGAAAGGCAGAAATATTTTGGTAAAAATGTAAGTTTAGTTATTCGAAATATTTTTGTCAAATATGAAATCTTTTTTTATTTTTTTTTTTTAAAAGATTAGAAGTGATAATGTGCTTATGGGTCAACTTTATATTTAGGTCTTACCAGAAACCACACAACGATCCTTGTTCTCATTGATTTGGGAAGCATATCAAGACAAGACATTAAGTATGTTTTGAACTGTTATATATTTAGCTCCAACTACAAATTAATGCCGAAATATCCTTGGAAATAAGATTTTTTAACGTTGAGGTTACACGACTGATCAAATTTTAATTGTCCATAAAAGTAATTTAATGAAAAAATATTAAATCAAAAGGATCATAAAAAAACAAGAAACTGTTTTTGTCAAAAAATAATATTGATCCATTATTTTTTCCATTATAATAGTCTTGTTGAGTATTGCTGCAATTGTATCTTTGGCCGTCGGTATCAATGAAGATTATTCTTCCCGCCACCCTGAAGGTGAACCTAAAGTTGGATGGGTTGAAGGTAATCTAATGATCTATTAGGACTTATTATTTTCAATTATAAGACAATGATTAATTTCTTTATGTACGTCAAATAAACAGGTGCTGCTATTCTTGCCGCCGTTGCAGCGGTAGTGTTTACTAATGCTATTAACGATTACCAGAAGGAAAAACAATTCAGAAAACTTAATGCTAAGAAGGAAGATCGTACCGTTAAACTTATTCGCTCTGGAAAAGAACAACAAATCTCTGTTCATGAAATTAATGTTGGCGACATTCTGGTAAGTGAAAAAGTCCGTTTCATAACCAGTTCTTTAGAAGTATATTTTGACTCTTTTTATTCATAGCTTCTCGAACCTGGTGACATTGTGCCTGTAGACGGTATATTTTTGAGTGGTCATAATCTTACTTGCGATGAATCAAGCGCAACAGGAGAATCTGATAACATTAAAAAAGGCAGCGTAGAAGCTGGAATGGATCCTTTTATTTTGAGTGGTGCCAAAGTTCTCGAAGGTGTCGGCAAATGTGTTGTCATTGCTGTTGGTAAATATTTTTTGCGTTGATTACACCTTTGATACGTTATAAATAAAAAAATATTAACGAAAATAATTTCCTTCGATTAGGACCTAATTCGTACTTTGGTAAAACTATGATGGTAGGTGAAATTTTATTTAGTTGTTATAACTCTTAAATTATTTCAACTTATAACTCAACCCGTTATCTAGGCACTACGCGGTGATGAAAACAAAGAAACTCCTCTTCAAATTAAATTAGACATTCTAACTGAACAGATCGCAAAATTGGGTGTTTCTGCTGCTTTGCTCATGTTGATGTATGTACTTGGTGTTTCATAAATTATCTTCCATGAATATCTAAACTAATTTATTGTACTTTACACCTTTTCTTCAGTACTCTCATTTTAAAATATTTTATAACTGCTGCTGTTTCCGGTGATTTCCCTGACGCTGAAACAATTTTAACGCACATGATTTCAATAGTTATTCAAGCCATTACCATTGTAGTTGTTGCTGTGCCCGAAGGTGTAAGTAATCAATACGAATAATCATTCTGCTATGTATCTAAATCTTTATCTATCTATTTATTTAAATCAAAAAAATTTTTTTTTTTTTTAGTTACCGATGGCTGTCACACTTTCTCTTGCTTACGCCACTACCCAAATGTTGAAAGATAATAACTTGGTTAGAGTTTTATCAGCTTGGTAAGTTATCATTTATGTAATTTTTTTTATATCATATTTCAAGACTAAATCTAATTGATAAATTGATAAATGAATTTAAGTGAAACTATGGGTAATGCTACCACTGTATGTTCAGACAAAACTGGTACCTTGACTCAAAACAAAATGACTGTTGTTGAAGGTGTCATTGGTAAAAAGAAATTCGAAAGCCTTGGTGAAATTCCTGAATGGAAAAGCCAAGTCGCTACTTCAACTTATGATACTCTTATTCAAGGAATATCTATCAATTCCTCTGCTTTTGAAGATAAGGATGAAAATGGAAAGGTGGTCTTTATTGGCTCTAAGACTGAGTGTGCTCTACTTGAATTTTCCAAGTCATTTGGTATCGATTACAGAGAAATTAGATCGAACAACAAAGCTCTCAAGGTCTATCCATTTGCTTCTAAAAGAAAAACAATGACTACTGTTACCAAATTAACATCGGCTAGTTCTTCTCATGGAAAATCCCCCGCTACTGCAGATTATCGTATTCATGTAAAAGGAGCCTCTGAAATCGTTTTGGGCGCTTGTACTCATTTTGTTGATGACGAAGGCAAAATTCAAACTTTCGATCCTCAATCTAAACAACAATTTGATATCAATATTACAATGTTTGCTGATAAAGCTTTACGTACAATTTGTTTGGCTTACTGTGATATAACCACGGAAGAATTTGATAAACTTGATGATGAAGAAGCTCCAGTCCATGATTTAATTTGCTTAGGCATTGTTGGTATCCAAGATCCTTTAAGACCAGGTGTAGAGCAATCTGTCGAAAATTTCAGAAAAGCCGGTGTTTTTGTAAGGATGATTACAGGTGATAACCTACTTACCGCTAGGGCTATCGCTCGTAATGCTGGTATTCTTACGAAAGGCGGTATGTCTATGACTGGACCAGAATTTCGTGAAAAATCTCATGACGAACAAATGAATATTGTTCCAAGATTACAAGTACTTGCTCGTTCCTCTCCAACAGATAAAACCATCGTAGTAAATTGTTTAAGAGAAATGGGAGATGTCGTTGCAGTTACTGGTGATGGTACAAACGATGGGCCTGCATTGAAATTGGCTGATGTTGGCTTTAGTATGGGTATAGCTGGTACTGAAGTAGCTAAAGAAGCTTCATCAATTATTTTAATGGACGACAATTTCAATTCTATTATCAAAGCGTTGAAATGGGGTAGAGCTGTTAATGATAGTGTTCGCAAATTCTTACAATTCCAACTTACCGTTAATATTACGGCCGTCATATTATCTTTTACTAGTGCAGTTCTAAGTGAAGAAAGTGAATCTATTTTAACTGCAGTACAATTACTTTGGGTTAATCTTATTATGGATACTTTAGCAGCTTTAGCATTGGCAACCGAACCACCAACCGATGAACTCCTTAACAGACGTCCTACATCAAAGAAAGCTTCACTTATTAGTTATAGAATGTGGAAAATGATACTTGGACAAGCGATTTTCCAAATAGCTATTAATTTGTCTTTATTACATATGGGACCTGATATATTCCATCTTTCAGATTCTAAAGAAGATCAAGTAGTTTTACGTACATTGGTTTTTAATACCTTTGTATTTTTACAAGTATTTAATGAAATCAATTGTCGTAGAATTGATGATAACTTTAATGTTTTCAAAAATATTTTCCATAATCATATCTTTATTATAGTTCAAGTAGTTGTAATAGCTGGACAAATTGGTATCATCGAATTTGGTGGTGTGGCATTTGGTACAGTTGGTTTAAATTGGCAACAATGGTTAACTACCATATTAATTGGATTCCTTTCTTTACCCATTGGTATTGTTATCCGATTAATACCAAATACTTGTGTGCCCGAAAGTATCTTGGATGAAGATCATAAACCAATTGTTAGTCAAGGGAAGATGCAATGGGAATCTGCCATTCAAGATGTTAAGACTGAACTTAAAATCTTCACAGCTTTAAGAAAACCTAGAAAGAATACGTTAAGCCCAACTACTAAAAAATCAGCTGGATTTGCAAATTTGGTTCAGAACATGAACCGTCATCCTCAAAATTAATAATAACATTTAAGAAAATTCATGGGAAATGATTTCTTCTACTTTATTAAATTTTTATCATTATTATATTTCCTAACTCTATTTTTACATATTTCTGTCTATTAAATGATATATATTTATTTATTGAATTTGTTGCTACAACATTTTGTCTATTATATATATGTATGATGGTGATTGGTTTTTTTTTATTCCTTTTATTCATTTAATACAATATATCCGAACTTCTAGGATATTCACAATACCTATCTCCTACATGTGTAACTTGAAAGATGCCTGTATAAAAAGGAAAAAATTTTTTGTCTTATTAAAATTATAGGTTAACGTTTAATACAAATGATTTAAACTTTACCTTCTTGTGAAGTGTAAATCGAATGTTGGCGTTTATTAACATTAAGGATCGTTTGTGTCTCAAGAATGCGACCTGGTTTTCGCTTTTTACCATCTTTTAATAATTCTCTCCTTGTATACGTAAATCGGAAAGGTGGCTCACCTAACGATAAATAATCATACATTAATTGATAACAATATATGTGATATCCCAGTACTACTATAATTATAAGTCAGTCACTCACCAAGAAAATCTATTATAATTTCAGTTTTATCGCCTTCTCTAATATCTGATATAACTTCCTTGCCTTCGGAAACAAAAGCTGAAGGAAGATCATAAATAATCTCCGTAAGATTTGCAACTGAACCACAACATTTGTTGCGTTGGTGACAAATATTGACAATAGTCATATTTCCAGGTTTATCTGCACCAAATGTAAAAATGGCCGCCTTTGAGATTGCAAATTTTACTACTTCGTTGTATTCATAAGTAATGTTCCATGGCGGTATGCCTTTAAACAAAATGAATGAATATATTATCAAAATGACGAAAAAAATGAAATGAAACAGGTAAAAAATTTTTAGTTTAACATATCATATACCTTGCAAGGAATAATCCAAAAGATCTCCAACACAATGAAATTGATGATGAAATGTTCGATCGATCGATGCAAGGTCAGTCACCTGAACAACGAGCTTTTTATCAGAGCCTTCTAAACTTCTACTACATCCTTGTGAATCAGAAACATACACAATAGATATTACATATTGTCCAACTAAACCAAACTTTTCTCTTGGCTGGAAATAATAAAGTGTATTATTTATTGATTCCATCCTCAATGTTTCTACATGATTACTACTTTCATGCATAACCTCGAACACTAGAGAAAATGGGGGAACTCCATCCAATTCTATCATTATTGAATCATCCTTTGTGAATGCAGTACCAACACAATGATAAACAGTGCCCGTATTGGCAAATCGAGCCTTCGGATTTGGAAGAACAGTTTGTTCAAGAATTAATAACATTTCATTGGGTTCCGTATAAACATCATCCGCTATGCTAGAAAAATTATATGCATGTATACCAGGATTCTCGGTCATAAGCCGAATCCTTGTTGATGGAAATCCTATAGTCTGTTGATGTGCAATGTTTTCATGAGTCGAAACTATACTATAACTAATAATCCATGGTGCTCTCCCTTCAAGAACTAAACCAAGAGTATCTTCTTTGCCGGCACAAATACTATTTCGTTTGAAATATCCTGATTGTGGTAAAGGCTCTGCTTCACTTTCAGCAATCCTCAAAGAAGGCTTTGGCAGCCATCTCACTTCGATTTCTTTCTTTTCAGGGATGACCTTCCCAAGGCAATAAGAATCTTTGACTTCTAATAACTCATAGCGACCAGGTTCTGTCACGGTTAAATATGAATTCGGATTGATCAAATTATAAGCTTTTCTAACATTATCCACATCTTCATGATAAATATAAGTAACCTCCCAGCGTGGATTTCCAGTAAGTTGTAACGGCAATCCAACACTTCTACCTTCAAGGAATCCAAGAATTTCATGAGCATTTCTAAATCCGACAGTTGGCTTATCTCTCTTGACATTTATAGTAACAAAATCGTCATTATCTAAGACCTGACTACAGCCTTTAGAGTCAATAACCTTTTTCAAAGTTACAGTATAAGTTCCAGGATTTTCAAATGGAGGTGAAATGATTACATAACTTGGACCTTGAATGTCAGCAATTGTAAAAGCATTTGTTCTTCTATTAAATACAACTTCATATCTAAAATGCAAATAAGTAATTGGTTAGCAACCAACGACATCATAAAGAATCAAATCATTTGTAAGTAAATTATGTTTACTCTAGAGTAAATGGTCCGGTACCACTCAAAATCACATCCAATTCGACCAAATTACCCATACAACTATTTATTGTTCGATCCTTTAAGCGTTGAAAAACGGCTTTAGGTTTCGGATGAACAGTTTGTGTGAACCTATAATCAATATCGACTCCTTCAGAATATATATAGTCTGCCAATCTGAAAAATCTGTATTCGTAGTGTCCTGGCTTAACCGGATATACAGTTATTGTGCGTTTAGATTTTTCGCTCATTAATACCTCTTCTTTCGTTTCAACTTCAGATTTGACTGAATATTCAAGGACCCTATAAAGAAAAAAAAATAAAAAGTTGAATCAAACGTATATGAATCTAAGTGTATACGTATGTATGTATATATTACCATCTCGGGATCCCAGTAAAAGATAAAGTTGCTTCAATACCGATTTCTCCAGGACAATCTTCAGCAGAAATAGGAATTGCATCGATCTTAACAGTAGGGGGATAAGCAATAGATAAGGTATTCGTAGATGGTGCCAAAACTTGTCCCGAACATTTTGCATCTGACACTGACAATAATTTATATGTACCAGGCTTATTCACAGAAATAAAATATCCCACTTTACTTTCTCTTATTGTCATATTAAGAATTTCGGTTGGTTCATTCGATAAAATATCCGAGATTTCGGCGACATCTTCAGACCAATATCCTACATCAAGTTTCCAAGGAGCTAATAAAACATAATAAGTGTAAAAATATGTTCCAAATCCAAATTAAAGGAATGATTAGAAATAATTTTCCAATACAAACCTACTCCTTGTAAATTTAATTTCATTTCAGCATTATATCCTGGAGGAATATATATAGGCGCATCTGAAATAAATTTTGCAGTTGGACGTAGGAATGCATCATACTTAACAAATACATCTAGATTTTGCTCATCAATATAATTATATGTATTATTTAATAAATCGTTGACTTCCAGAACTTTCAAAGAATAGGTTGCAGGAGTATCAGCTGTCATATTCAATTGTACTGTTATGACTTGATCGCGCGCCCACTGATAATTTCCAGAAGCTGAGAATAACTTTGCTCGATCAGGTTCAGCTATAGGGAACTTTAAATGTTCTGCACCAATTCCGTCTATAGTCATATTGACTGATTCATCACCAATACATCTTTCATAATACACGCTTAAAGGTGGCACTCCCTTTAGAACTAACTTTGTATATATCTCATCATTCATACAACACGTTGCGTCAGTAAGAGATATCAATTTTGCTTCAGGACAATAAACTAGAATTTCCTCTTTCCTATAAATTTTAATCCCCATCCCATCTGCATCCAAAGCTTGTTCAATTTTATACACTCCCGGCTCTGTCACAGGAATATATACAAAAACACCGTCTTGAATAAGATCAACTAAACGATGTCTAGCAATTTCTTTTGAAGAAAATTCATGAACAGTCTTATTTCCTGATTCAAAATCCACTCGTGAATAATGAATAAATTGTGGCGATGTTTTATTGAATAATATAGGTAATACAACTGGAATAATTTTTTTTGAATCAGTCCTTTTAAGACAAAACCTGTCATCATCTGGATTCAATTTGGCAGTAGCATATGGTAAAAGTCGAACCGTATGTTTTCCCTTTATGTGAGATGAATTATGTCTTACGACTAAATCAACCAATATAATAAAAGATTTAGCAATATCTTTGGTTTACTAAAATTCATTCAAATAATTGAATTCACTTTACCTTCTATTTGTATATCTTCTTCCGTACTGACAGCACGTACTTTCTCGCCACGTAATTTGAGAAATTGTTGTCGGACTCCATTGATATAATAAATAGAATGCTATAAAGGTTAGTATTGGAAATCATAAAGAATTACAACAATGAATGCATTCGTTTTTTTTTTAAGATATACTCTATCGAAATTGACTTACTAAGCATTGAGGAGGAGCCAAACATATCAATTATTGATTTTGTAATTCCTGCATCATAAACCTATATAATAATGAATATTGTTAGGAAGAGCTATCAGTACTAAAAATCCATACGCGTAATCTTTATAAAACATACCCAACGTGGATATATAAAGAAAGAACTTATTATACAAGACAATATAAGAAAAAGAATTATTTTCCATAAAGGGAATTGTAGCCAAGGTATTCGACAAAAATATAACGTTATGAAAAACATGGCGTCTATTAAACACCATTGGAAAAGTACTCCAAATAACGAGAAGTGTTCAAGGCCAGTTGTAAAATAATATAATTTGTATGCCCATATTGCAACAAAGACAGCTGTAGCTATTAGTCTTTGCGTAGGTACAGAGGCATATCTTGTCGAAATCCGAGAAGGATCTTGTAATAAGGGATTCGCAGGTTGTGACGCGACTTGCCGTAAAGACATTCTTTTCAAACTTAAAATTCGAGTGGCATTTTTTTCAATTTTAAAATTTTTTCTTATCTTGATTATCAGTTACACGGGTTATCCGATCTGGCCAATCAGAATTTATTAAATCGATAAAATTAAATACGGTACTATTTGAATTTTTGACATGAATATAAACGTTAATAAAATTATAACATAAAAAATTGTTGTATGTTGATTCTTTATTTTAGACTATTAAAAGACCTTAAGCTACTTCAATAAATTACTATGAAAATTTGCATAACCTGAGTTTATTTATCACATATACCATAATACTAATCACGTGATTTAAATATAGTAATATTAAGTTATTCAATCTCTGATTTCTGATTGCAGCAGCATTTGAAGTAAATACTCTAGTTGAATTATTGATAAATCAGGAAATACTTCCTTTATTCTTCAGTTGTTTGAAATCGGTGTAAAATCTTGATTTTTATTGAATGAATTTATTTCAATATCATTCTCATTTAATGACGCTTTAACCGTTCCTCCTGACTTTTCTCTCTTCTCACTCATCTCATCGTTACACCACAATTCATTTTTCATAAACGTCACCGATTTAACAACACCACCTAAATTCAACATCACAACAGTCAACACATAAACCCAAGCTTGCATCTCATTCACCAAAAAACACAATGAATAAATAATTATCGGTGTATATTGTATCAATTGTAAAGCCGTAGGGGCATTAACGATTACAGAAGGTCGAAGTTCATAAAAGAAACTTGGAGGTCTTAATTCTAGACCATCTAAATTACTCATCGTTTCACGTGATATTGTTGATGTACGATTTGATGATTTCAAACTTGCTGATGTAAAAAAGAACGTTTGCTTAAATTTTGTTGACCATGTACTTGAACTTTGTTCAGTATCTTGCATGTTTGAATCTTTTGTGCGTGAGAAGGATGCAAGCATTGCTTCAACATTATTAATCCGTTTTATTACATTCATGTAACTAAATGATGTTATTATTGTTACAATATATGCAAATGCTATAAGTGCAATCAAATTTACTCGACTTCCACTTTTTAGACTATTCATAAAACACCTAAAATAAAATAAAAATAATAGTTGAGAAAGTGGTTGCTAGTGGCGCAGTACTCACAATAAAAAAAACGACGTACCAAAAAGTATCAGGACCGAATCCATCTAATAACCAGGTTACGAACGAAATAGTTAAGGTTGGAATAAGAATCGACAGAAACAAAAAACAATCCTTTTTTCCAAGATTCACGACAAAACGTTTACAAATTCTTAAATAAGTTATTAAAGCCAATATGGCCATCAACATCATATTTATTCCGATCAATAACGAAGTCATGAAACCTAATGAACTACACCAACTACCTCTCATTAGATAATCTTGTGTCATTGGATAAAACAAATTTGGTAAAGTTATAAAAGAAGTACCAAAATCCATTATTGCCATATAAAGAGGAAATCTTTTTGATGTTGTAAGATATTCGGAGTTGCATCGATATTTATGGATTGTTAAAATGATCATCAAAGAGGATCCGAGCATGTTTGCGAAGGAAGTTATTATACCTGCTACATAAAATACTGCACTACCTGTTGGATCTAATTTGTAAATACTTTTATCTGTATGTGGTATGATGAGATTATTCTCTGGTATGTTCGTGATTTTGGGGGTTTTACTTGCTAATAAATCTCTTCGCAAGTGTTGATGATTTTGTATAGAATTTGACTTTATTACGTTAAGATATTTTTGTTCGTGTCTTAAATTAATTCGGGTTATTACTACGCCATTGGAAAATTTTGTACTTATAACCATTAAAGCGAAGCAAGTTGAGAAGAATAATCTTATATAAAATCGTGAATGAGTCATTATAACCACAAGAATAAACTTTTATAATTTTACAATAATAATGAACATTAAAGAAGGATTCAAGATTGAATAAAAATGCAAAGGACGGGCCAAAGCTTTGTTGTTAAGGAAAGTCGTTAAAATCAAACGGAGAATGAATAGTAAAAAAAAAAAAAAAGAATTCATTGCAGAGAAAAATCTCTAGGTATTTACACAAATATTTAACCAATGAAGAATGCATCCGCGATTTATAATATAATATCAAGTGGGCCATATAAGAATTACATAATATCTACGCAAAGGTTTGAATGTTTGTATGTGCGACACTTTAATTATGACAATCGAAATGCGTGTAACGATTTCCACCTTTATCGAAAAAATTCTATAAAAAGAATTTTTTTGAAAAGCTTTGTTAGACAAGAATTCATGATGTTTCAACAAATATGTATTTAAACGCGATGCGCGGAAAATGAGATTTTTTCCGAAATTAAGAATTAAGGAGTTACGTTAATATGCTTTATTTAATTTAGAAAAAGAATTCGATAAATCGATTCGAAATTCTTCATTTAATGTAAATATCAACTTTCGTAATTTGTAATAAACGGTCCCTTAAACAGTTTCGCATGCAAATAAATGCCATGCAATCCTGAGGATAAAATAATAACTCGCTAATGATTAATAATATTACATATAAATATGCAATTAAGTTAAATTAAAAATTTCATCATAGAACGTTATCGTGTAAAAAAAAAAAAATAAAAAAAAAACATTTAACTTTTAGTCGTATTATTAAATATTTAGTAACCAATCACATACAATTGATCCCTTCTAGTACTTAATCAATTTATTATTTTTTTTTTTGATGTCTCATTTGCAATAGGTATTACCTTTTTAATATAAATGTAAAGCATGCACACGATTGTTACTGCGTCACATGATTTTGAAACAGCTCTCTAATATCCATTACAATTGACATCTCAAAGTCAATTTCGTGAATTTTACCTTTTCGTTAACAAGATATATTCTTATCTAATACCATTATGAAGAATACCATAACTATGAATTCCCTTAATGCCTATCCCTTTGATTATTTGATTACAATCTATCCCAAAGTAAATCGTAGTGTAAATTTCGCAAAAGATTATATACAGTAATTTTCTTCAATAGCTTCAAGAATTTGAATAACCATAATTTTGTGAAATATGTGGAATGCTACAAGTGTACGACAAATTTGACATATCAAATTATATGGAGAACGATCAGAGTCATATAAGATAATTAGTCGTGATTTTTATCAAATAAAATTGATTATTTTCATAAAAGAGCAATAGCTTTCTTCTTGCTCTTCAATAAGTCTTCTATTATGACTGAAACAGAGGGTCAATTACTAAGAGAATTAGTTCCTGTTTGCCAATGGCTTCCACAAAATTCACCTAATCCAACTTCAACATCCCACATTTTCCAGATAACGTGAGGGAATGGATCAGATTCTTTCGAGGTGTTAGACTACAACAATGTCCTCATCCAGCTGGACAATTCCGTATAAACTCAACTACTGCTCATCCTCTCAGAGTCGAATACGATGCAAAACTTCGTTTTTATAGTAATGTTTTATCTCCTGTTGAAAATTTATTACCACAAGGAATTTATTTTATTGAAACACCTGCCGGATTTTTGGCCGCTTCTGATTTTGTTCTATGTACTAATAATTACACCGTGGCCAAGATGCCCGTGGAAATGAAGACGCGCCACAACCTTAATCTATGTGGTTGTAATTTCTGGGAAATTTATCAAGATGCCGACTGGCGTTAAATTATGAATCCAAATTTTAAATTTAATAAAGGATCCTATCGCAGGTATTTGGTGAAATGGCATGTAATGGCCTCCACTATGGCATTTATCCAATTATAATGATACATACTTTCTCAAGCGAGAAGAAACAACTCCAACAACCCTGCATGTTTCCCGTGTTGTTCAACCTGATAATGACAATCCAACTTTAAGCGAATGCGTTTACTACATCATCCAACTTGCAATTAACGATGATGTCGGTAATAGATTGGGACATGTAGTGCTTGATCCATGATTACTCTGATGATGATTCTAGTGATGATGATGATTCTTCAGGGAGGAAGCAGAGTTCATTAGTAAAGACCAGTAGTAAAAAAACAACTGCAAGTTCATCCAAGGGAATTACCAATACATAGATGGCAGGTCCTTCGGAAATGTTTTTTCTGGATATTATGACAATCAAGCTGTGGCATGGAAAACCTGTGATATATAAGAAGCAAGAGGAGATCTAATCGCTAAAAAATGAAGCTCATATATTCTATTTTGAAAGAATGTCAAGGTACAATTTTTTTTTATTCATTCATAATATTTTTAGATATTATTAACTTGTCTCATCTATTACAATATTGATATTAGGTCGAGATGTTCCACGTTTGTTCTATAAAGGTTACAATTGATCGAGGACGCCCATCATATTGATTTGACAAGACTCACAAAAAAAGGAAAGAATATTAATAGTCAATCAACTCAAGTTAATACATAATTTTGGCGTCTTACACAATGATATTTCTCAGAGTAATATACTATATGAACCAAAAAAGTCACCATTGCTTTTTATAGATTTCGGCCTAAGTGTAATCGTGGATAATGAATCACCAAAATTACGCAAAAAAGAAAGGAAATTAAAAAAAAACCTAACCATTTGGATGTATAGTACTGCATAATCACGCTAAATAAATTTTTTTATTGCAAGTTACATTGTATATATAACTTTTCATTTTAATCATAAAATGTAATAAATCATGATCTACACAGGTTAATCATTTATTCACGAGAATTTTCAAAAAAAATGAATTACGAGTGTATCACATTCTTTTCTTGGCCAGTTTATTAATAGATCATACATTACATATTTAAAAGGGAAATTTATTAAAGATTTTAAACGCTTTAATTCTGAGAAAATAAATGCCTACAATCGATTGACCCATTTGGTCTATATACAGTACTCATTTATAAAATATTTTTTTTTTACATGCTAATATTTCGTCGATGAATACTATTTTTCCATTACTTTCCATATGTGTCATTAAAAGGTGTCCATTACGGAAAGTCTCTAAACAATACGGTAAGTAATGACTTAAATTTGCAACTCCTAATTGAATCACAAAATAGATAAATAAATCTATTAGCATAGAAATAATAAAAGGCAATAATGACTCACTTTCGACATTGCATCTTTTATCTTCCAAATCTGTAGCGTAAAACCTGGCAAAGTACCGCCTCCATCCAAGCCTCCCCAATCATGGTGACGACGATAGACATTGTTAGTTTTGGAGTTATTCTTATAGACCCAGATCTCATTGTTAAGTTAATATGATCAATAAGCCAACCGAGCGTAACTGACATATTTGCCGCAAAGTAAGAACCATTAAACTTGGAATCCAGTTCCTTGCATTTTGGAGAAGTTACAAAGTTGCTGATTAGTAAGTCTTTTAATTGCCTGACGAAACTCCCGGGTTTAAACAGACTGTCGAATATCGAAAGTGTCAAAACCCTAATAAATAAACACGTCGAAACAAGTCGAAACCTGCCAAACTATATTAAACAGTCGAAACTATATTAAGGACTTATTAAAAACCTGTGAAACTAAAGGTTTAACTATTTTGACAAATCCAAAATAGGTTTCGCCAGGCAACTATAGTAAGCCTTCTGTAAATATCTTTTGGCATAAAGATGACATCTGGCGCCCGCATCTCTCCTTTGAATTCTCCTTGTGAGCAAGTCCAACTAGCCAGATTTGTCTTCAGTTTTCAATTACAGCAGTTTCTTTGTCAATTGTTGTTGGTGGCATGGGAACGAGCTTGCCAAGTTCGAATTGATTGATGGAGTCCCCGTCGATTTCCTTGTAACGATTTTGAGCTGATTGTTTATAATTTTCAACTTTTTAAGAGTGTAAGTACGATCTAGGTCTAAAAGTTCCAAGTTCAAATAATCCGAACATTTTTGTGTTATCGGATACGTAACTATTAATAGAAAAATAAATCACATGATATAAAACTCATTTGAATGGTGCATATTTTAAGTCACATGAAAAATCCTGGCCCGATTCAACGGTCTTCCAGGGAAATTTTCGGATATTTAAGATAAAATGATACAGTTCATTCATATTATAGCGAATAATTTAGTATAATAAAGAAATAAGTAATAATTCTTGACATAACGAATTTCGAATTTAAGCATTGGAACAAGTATAATAATATGGTCCGATTACCGAATTTTTAAATTGTTACACAGTAAATTATACCTTTGCGATCATATGATTATAGCTCCGATTCATTTAGTACATGCCACTGCGCACGAAATAAATATTCTATAAATGATCTTATTTCTATTATTCTTGAGAAAAAAATAACTTATTGTCTCAATAATGATGTTAACAACAAGTTTTTATGTGTAACCTGTAGTAGCATATATGCTATGCTGTATGGTGTCCACAGAGAAAAAAAATGAGTTTTTTTTGCAAGTTCTCATAACCTCGTTCAAAATATGTTCTAGACACATTATCAGAAATTCAACTTTGAAAAATTCAAAAAATTCAATTATTATTATGCAGAATATTTCATCAGTAGAAAAAGGAAGAACGAGTTGTTGCAGTATTGGGAAGTGTAAACAAGAGGGTATGGGTCGTATGCTATTAAAATTAGGTTATGAGACATAGTAAATCATATGATCCGAACATAGCATAACTCCCATATGGTGAGTATTTTTGTTGAGTCGTTGTGTATCTGAAGTTACGCTGCCACTAGGTATAAAATGACTGGGAATTGAAAGCGCATCGTGGCCGCAGTTACAACCAATTGTGAACGTTCTTCTTAATTCTTGACGATGATGACGCATATGCTCTTTTTTTATTATTTTAATTCATAAAGGATCGGGTGACGAATGAGTATGTTATCGGACGTTTAGTCGATTCACCATTTATCATCCATGTAAGAACTGGTACAGAAAGATAGGTATTATATCAATAAATATTTGCTGTTGATTTGATGAAATTAGTTATATTAAATAATTAATCCTTCCGTTGTTCAGGAATTAGAAGGAGGTGCTCATTTGGTACCCAAACACAATCGGTATAATGGTGGCCCCTTCAAAAAATAATTTTTACTCTGACCGCAAATACGTCTATGATTAAAACAATCCTCACGGATCCATGTACAGGGTTGTTAAGTACAGTTAGTACACATAATCATTAATATAAAATATAGTACAGTACAGTACAAGTACAATGTCAAATTTTACCAAACAAATTTCCCAACCCTGCTTATGTATAGATCTCATATCCTTTGTTGAAAGTCAAGTGATTTTATAGATTTTTTTTGATACGATGGTTCGGGGCTTTTAATCTATCATTTTAACTAGGGATGTTAAACGGTCCCAAATGATTGTGAACAAATTAAGAATTTATGAGCTATTGAAAAGTCTAATAGCTTATCTATAATAAGTAACTTTTGATAAAAATTTGTTATAATTAATTTTATTAATAACTTTTAAAAGAAATATGAACTTTAAAATCGACAATTTTCATGGGACCGCCAAGGTGGGACTCGGTCTTTAGGACTGGGTCCTAAGTTTCAAAAATTAAGATTCTGGATTTCCGCATAAGTTTAATATATATTTTTAATAAATATTCAATTAATACATCATCATTAAAATGTAAAATATAACGCCAGTAAAATAAAAATCTTCTCTAGAACTGGCAAATTTATTGGGACTTTTAGGGCCGTTTAGGACCGTTTAACATCCCTAATTTTAACCTTAAACCCTTCTATCACTTTTACCAGAAAATCTGCAAAATTAATTTTGGATTAAAAATTAAACATTTTTATTTTAAAAAAAAAAAGTATTTTTTTGAACTGGCAATGTTTTTGAATATATTTTAAACTTTGTAATAATAAGTTAAAAGCTTATAAGTTTGATAAATCTCTTAAAAAAATAAATATGATAAAGCTCACTTTTAAATTAAAAATTGAAAGGTTTTTATAAAACTATTGAAAAGTATCTATTATAAGAAATTGTTATTAATTTCTTATTTTAGTAATAATTTATAAATTTGTGCACATAAATTTTCACTTAAATTTTATACACTGGTATAATTTTAGATTGCTTAATAGAATAATACTTATATTATTACATAAATAAGAAAAAGTCAACAAAAAATAAATAAATCTTTAATGCTTAAAGAAGAAATATATTTTTTTGAAATAACAGAAAATTTTTTATATCTTGGTTACTTATGTTTATTTATTTATTAATCAAAAATTATAAAAAATAAAATCTGCATTTCTGGAAAAAAAATCTGCTTTTATTTTTTTATACATATGATAGGAAACAAATCTTGAAATAAAAATACATATTTATATTTAAAAAACAAAATAAAAAGTAATAATCCGATAATTACAAATGATTATTTAATACCAAAAATATCCCTCTTATTACACCACCCGCTATAATTTATAAGATTACACACTCATAAAGAAGGACTAGACTACATGGTGCAAATCGACCCCTATCCGAAGACATGGGGACAGAGTCAGCCTATAACCATCGCCCCCCTCCACAAGAGGGAGTATAAACACCCACAAAAGTGAATGCAAACTGAGGAATGAACAAATGAATTCTATCCTTATTTATATTAAAAGTGAAAATTATGGGATTCAAAGATCTTCATGATATTCACTAATTATGGAAAGATCTATGATCCCGTAACGTGATTTTAATAATACTGTATGTTTTTAGAAATCAAATCATTCATTTTGACAACAAATAAACCTAAAAAATATTTATTATACCAAAGAATAAAAAAAATAAGGAAGAAGAGATCGGTGATTGCAAGTTGAAGTTTAAAATCTTTGGTGGATTGATATCTATACTGGACAAATAAAAAAAATTCGAGAGTGAGTTAAATTTACTTAATTTGTAATTTAATACATTTTAAACACAAATCCATAACACAATCATACGGATGAATATGAAAGAAAAAAAAAAGTAATATAGAATATTTTATTATTTTTCTGAAAGAATTTTAGAAAATAAATCAAAAGATGATTGATACGGATATAAACACTCTATTTAATCAGCAACTTTCTTAATTGTTGATTGCGGGTGGTAATTTGAACAGGTGGATTTTGCGGAGGAATTTATGTTGATAAAGGATTCCTTGTATTTATAAGGGAGAAAGTTAGACCCTTTATAATGCAAATACTTCAATGGATATCTGCAAAATATTGTTCAAGAATTCTGTAAGAAAGTCAAATTATTATTTACAGATATCAAGATGATTTACAAACTTTGATATAAACTTGACCGAAGTTTGTCCTTTTATATAACGACATGTTACTGGGTCAAGATTAGATAAATTGAAGATGAACGAATGGATTGTATATTATAATTTGAAGATATTCAAAGAATGTTTAATCCCATTATTAAAAGGTTCTCAAGTTGATACGTGACAATTGTAGTATTACTGCCATATTTTTGGTGGAAGGTTTTAGTGAATCAAAATATTTACAAAAAAGAATCTTCTTGGACAAAGTTAGGAATTTTTCGTACCTCACCGCAAATGGTTGCCATTTTTAGTAGAGGTAATTATAAAAAATTGTGTTAACATTTCGATTAGATTTTTACGTATTGCAATTTTTGTTTTATTGATGAAAATTTATCCCAAAATTTCTTTAATTTCTTTAAATTTTTTGAAAAACAATTTGATTTAAACTTGCAATGAGATCAGGCGGAGGAATAAGGAAAAAAAACTTTTGCGTGAATCAGCTACCCAAGATTTATCTTCTGTAACTCAAGACAAAATTTCAATCGCATAAGAAGAGGGAAGTGGAGAATTTCGTATAGGATGTATTTATCTGAGAAATATCATGTGACTAAATTTCTGTGATAGGAAAACCAATTCCCGTCACTGAAAATACGCTAACATTTGCTAGTTCTTTAATTTTTTATAGAAGGTTCATTGGTTTTTCCAAGACATATTTCATGCTTTTGAGCAAGGGTTAAAAGATGCTCTTTTTGGTAAATTGTTATCTTGAATCATTTTATCCTTGCTTTTTGATAAAATTGCTTATACTTCGTGCATATTGGCATGTTCTAACTGAATCGGGCTGAATTATTATAATCAAAATAAAACATGATCTTATTTATTGATCGCAGTGATTAATTTATCGTGTAACAATTTAAAATTCGGTATATTGAAAACCTTCGCTATATCAAGGATCATATTATTATACTTGTTCCAATGCTTAATATTCGATAAAAATTGTTGTATTATTTATTTCAAAATTCGCTATAATAAGGGTGAACTGTATCATTTTATCTAAAATATCCGAAAAGTTCACTGAGAGACGCGTTGAAGAGAACAAACTTTACATAATATTTTAATTTAGCGCTATAAATTGAATCTGATTTTTACCCAAGATTTTTCATGTGACTTAAAATATGCGCTATTCATGAGTTTTATATCATGTGATTTTATTTTTGGAGTTTGATCCTATTATGAAAAATCAGTTACGTACAAAAACGTTATTTTCACATCATTTTTTTCTTTTAATTTTGGGTAAGAAATAACGGCAGATTTTCATCAGTGACATTCGTGAGTGAAACCAAGAAAATTGCTAATAAGACGGATTATTTGAACTTGGATCATTTGTACCTAGGTCGCACTTACAACTCTCAAAGAGTTGAAAATTATAAACGATCAGCTCAAAAATCGTTCCAAAGAAATCGACGGGGACATCATCAATCAATTTGAACTTGATAAGTTTGGCAAGCTCGTTCCCATGCCACCAACAACAATTGACAAAGAAACTGCTGTAATGGAAACGGAAGACAAATCTGTAGTTGGAACACCCAGACTGGACAGAACGGCAATGTCACTTGCTCACAAGGAGGATTCAAATTAAAAACAGGAGAAATTCGTGCCGAAATTCGGGCGCCAGATGTCGCCTTTACGCCAAAAGATATTTATAGAAGGCTTACTATAGTTGCCTGACGAAACCTATTTTTGGATTTGTCAAAACGTTTAAACCACAGGTTTTTAATAAGTCCTTAATATAGTTTCGACTGTTGAATATAGTTTGGCAGGTTTCGACGGGTTTGACGGGTTTCGACAGGTTTCGACACGTTTATTTATATGGTTTATTAAGGTTTGACACTTTCGACATTCGACAGTCTGTCTAAACTCGGGAGTTTCGTCAGGCAACAAAGACTTTGTAGAAGAGAGCAATTTTTATCAATTAGAGATGATGAAAATATCGATCAAGTTGAGCTTCATGATCAAGATTTTGATGTTGAATTTAATAAAAATATAATTGAAAATATTGATGATATTGAAAATTTTGACGATTTAGAAATAATTTTAGATAATGAAGAAGATGATGACGATGATTATCTTGTTAGTCAAAACGATGAAGAATACTAATCAGCCACTTGGTACCCTTCCAAGGATCACCATTTAGTCCCACGCTTGTCGTGGAGGTTGCTGACGTAGGAAATAGCGATAGCCCAAATTTCAAGGAACTGGATTCCAAGTTTAAAGATTCTTACTTTGCGGCAAATATGTCAGTTACACTCGGTTGGCTTATTGATCCTATTAACGATGAGATCTGGTTCTATAAGAATAGCTCCAAAACTAAAAATGTCTATCGTCGTCAGAGACTTGGATGGTGGCGTTACTTTGCCAGGTTATATACTCTACGGGTTTGGAAGATAAAAGACGTAATGTCGAAAGTGAGTCGTTATTACCTTTTATTATTTCTATGCTATAGATTCATTATTATATTTTGTGATTCAATTATAGCTACCGTCAAGACCTCCGGAATAACTACATATGGGTCTTCGTAATACCAAATATATCTTGCACAATTCTTTCTTGAGTTGATCCCGTGCTTGCTGTTTATAAAATTATTGGATCGCCTCTATGAAAGAATTCTATATATTTTTCCTTTGCACCTCAAATAGCAAAATCAGATTCATAATGGAATGTCAACTTGTAAATAAATATTCTGTTGATGAATAAACTTGTATACTACGACTTGATTGACGCGTCGATATGATTAATCAGTCGACTTTCTTTTTAATTCTGATGTGGGGAGAGTTTTGAAATTAAAAATTTATAATCTATATTATATCATCCGATAACGGATCATAATGCGATGTGATAATCCATTTCTCTTCATAGGTCATTGTGTCCGGATCGTAAATCCAATTTTCGACAGAATATGCAAAACAATCAATTGATAATCCTTGTTTATGAACAAGTGAGAGTCTCATAACGTATGTCTCTTAATAGATGACAAGAAAGAATTCATAACAAAGTTCCGCATCCAAAAAAAAATTTTGTAATCGATTGTAATTTTGGGATATTTGGGAACAAAGAATTGGAAGAGTCATTAATTCTGACATCATTTATCGATATTTTATCAACAAGGTAGCTTTGATAAAGTGACCAATCAAAGTCATTACGACAATGCAAAAAGAATATATTATTACGATTGGAAATGATTGGATGATCGTTTTCTATGGTTTTTGTTTATAATGCTTGCATGCAATTCATATAAAACGACAGGTTGGTTTAGAAAGAATTTCGGGAATCGCCGACTGATTTTAAAAAAAAAGCGAGTTTAAATCCTATGTTTGGGTATCAAGAAGACACGTGATTTATTTTAAACAAATTCTTTTCATAAGATACAAATTCGATGAATGAGTTTTTTGTCTTGAACAAACTGTACAAATGTATAACGTATAATTTAATTCTTTTGCTATGCTAATATTCTTCTATGTGCTAATGTTGTAATACAAGAGAATTACAGTGTAATATGCGAATGCAATAAATGAAAAAAATCAAAGTTTTTTTTTTATAAAAAAAAAAAAGAGAAAGAGAATAAAAATTATTCTAATGAAATAAAAAAATGTAAATTGTTTTAAAAAGAAAAAGGAATGAAAAAAAAATTTACAAAATCGAAATGAAAGAATAATAATATACATAGAATTCTATCTTAATAAAGCTTTCCTTTACTCTTATTAAGAGCGATACAAATATAAATAGAAACCGAAGCAAAGATTAAGAAATTAAATAAACACCTTTTAGCCCATTTCAATCTTCCAGTATTAAATTTATTATCACTTCTTCCTTCACTCGAGTTAGTTTCTTGTTTTTTAAATTTATATTCATTACCAAATAAAACGAATAAAGAACCAATTAACCAAAGTGGCCATATTATAAAGCCATAAATATAAAGCCTTTTAGTAATAGGCCAAAATTGTTGTGGTTGTACTGGAGCCAGATACATCAATGGTTCGATTAAAAAAGAATCATCTATTCTTGGAATATTATCATTTGGAGGAGAATCAAGTAGCGGTTCTTGATCTACTGGATACTCTGGCGGCATGTCTTCTACTACTATCGAGTAGGAAGGTAAATAATCTGGTGGAAAATTTTTTGAAGTAATGTTTGAACGAGCAAATGCTCTTGGAGGTATTGACGGAAGTAGTACATTTCGTGAAGAAATATTTGTTACATTTGAGTTGGAAATTGCGGATACATAGTTATTTGTGGTGGATAAATTTGCTGTTGCATTATCATTACAAGTTGACAATACGGAAGTCATTGATAAATCTTGATGAATATGAATTTGACATAAAGAAGGAATTGGAGTTGAAATTCTATCTTGATTTTGACTTTGAATTAAATCATTTTGAATATTAAAATTTTGGCTTGTCGAAGTTGATGACATTTCTTTGAAGAGGGAAAAAGATAGGGAATGAAATGAATATTTAAAACCGAGTTTTATTTATATAAAAATAAATAAATCCTTTGTACGCTTTGTGGGTTGAATATCGGAAAAATGTAAAATATATTTAATCAAATAATAATTGTTTTTGTTCCCAACAATGAAGCACACGGTAAATAATATTTTATGTTTTACTTTCAAAACTTTTCTACCTTTAGAATTTTCTAAATTCCTAATGGCCAATTTATATATAATGATTTTTGGAATTACAATGACAAAAATTGTCGTTGTTATTCGCGAAATATGATTGGGGGTTGAAATGGTTGAAATGTGGAATCTTATTTTGGATGAACTTCACACTATTATAAATTAATATAATAGGTCCTTAAGGTTTATTTTTTTATTTTGAATATGATTAAATGAACTTTCTTAAAGTTTTAATCCTTAATCCGATGGAAAAAAAAAAAAATTTTTTTTTTCTTACTGAAAGGAAAAAAAAGAGAGGAAAAAAAAAAAAAAGGAGGGATTTCACAAAACTTATATCAACAACAAAATGACCGTGTATATAACTTATTTTCACACTCATACATTGAGAAAATAATGGAAAATAATGTCAAGGACTAAAAAGTTGCGCGTTATATATATTTATATTTACGATTGTTTGGTATAATATAAATAGAATATTAAAATATATTCTTTTTTTTTATATGAAAATGTATGTTATTAAATTTAAACAAAGAAGATAAACAAAACCCGTTGTTCCCTTATTAATTGCTTGTAACACTTGTGAATCTACTTAGTCTACCCATAAACTGGTATTTTAAATCCGAATTGACGGGTGTTACCAACTTCATTTGTTCAAAGTCGAAAATTAAACTGAAAAATAACATTTACACTATTTTAATTAAAAATAAATATTTGTTATTTGTTTTAATAAAATCATTAAAAGAGAAGACATGATAATTATCCAAAGAATCTCATTTTTTCGATTTTTTTTAATTTTAAATCAAGATGTAAATGTTGCAAATGATTGGAGATCTTCCTGATTTGGTTTGAATGGACTCTTTTCTTATCGGTTAACAACTTTTTGAAAAGTTGTGTTTTTTTTTTAATTGAATGTGACATCAACAACGGAAACTGACAAGTTCTTTTAAAGGACAAAGGTATAATTCTAACGAATGAATAAGTAAAGTGAAATTCAAGAAGTGTGTGTGGTTTGCTTAAATTTATGTATCGGATGTGTAGGATTTTACGCGTTATCAAATAAGCTTGTATTCACAGATATATCTTCAAATCGATTGCATCAATTATAACACGTAGATGTGTGTTGACTTGTAAATCTATTTCACTAATATTAATGCGCATAGAAAAAAAATAGCATTTCAAAACCCCATTATCTCTTCTCTCAAAGATTTGCGCAAAAAATTTCTCTTTTCTCATATATTGTAAGCATATCAAAGCATTCGCACATTAGCAACGCATTTTTTTAAATCAAATCATCTCTCAAATTTTTTTTTGTATTTAATTAGTTTCATCCAAATATAGAACAAAGTACGTTGATCAACACGTAAAAGACAACCAGCAATTACATTACCTGGAAAGATAATTTTAACGAACCAATCGACTATCACACCAAAATGTTTCATAAATTTATTAGTGCATAAACTGATAAATTACGATAATTATTCATACTTTGCACAAAATAGGTCCCAGAATCTCGGGAAATTAATCATTATTAATTTTTTTCCTTTTTTGATCATCGTATAATTTTTTCCATTGATTCCCGATAAATTCTTATTACTAAGTTAACGAATTTCTATGGTTACCTCGCAATTCCCTTGAAATCCTGACAAAGAAACCTGCATACTCCAATGAAATATTATATCCTAAATTCATGAGAATGTTGAATTTTTTTAAAAAAAAAATTATTATCGACTTTAAATAACGCGAGATTTGTATACATGACAAATAAATTATTTACTTTAATTACTTGATGATTATATTTCAAACAAAAAAAAAGGTACCAATTAAAAAGAGATTTACTATAAAATTTACAATGAATGATAATTTAAAAATTAATTCTAACTCGAATTGTATATTTATTCTACAAAAAAATATAAAAAAAAAAAATTGTTCATTTAAAATAATAATTCTTCTATCTACTCTTTAATCTTTACAATAAATATAAAAAAAAAAATATACAAAATGATATTCTAAAAATAATATTGGAACAAAAAAAAATTTATCAAAAAACTTCTATTTCTCAAAATAACAAATGTATTCTCCCGATAAAAAAATGCAAGTTCCTAAAAACAAAAAATAATATATTTTTTTTTAATATTCTGTCTAATACATTTTCAATGTTAACTATTTAACTAAAAATTATCAACTAAGAAAATATTAACTTCAACATGTCGTCTTCTCGTAAGAATCCCACCTTTAAAGAATATATCTGCAATAAAATACTAAAGCATGCGAATACATTACTTTAAAAGAGATCATTATATAATGGATGTGGTAATTCTTTCATTTTATCTTGCGAGTTTGAAATAGAAGGAGAGCTTGGTACTGGAGGTGTGTGCAATGGTGAATTGGGTTTTGAATTTGTATTACTTCCAAATCCTAAACCTAAACTATTGGATCTTGAATGTGATTTGGAACTATTATTACTACTATTATTACTACTACTACTATTGCCGCTACCAAAATTTAAACCTAAACCTAATCCGCTTGAATTTATGCTCGTATTGGTTGCTATCATTAGTGATTTTTCTAAATCAGAATTGCTCGATCTTATTTTTGGTGATGATAAATTACTATTACAATTATTATTGGATGGTGGGGTAATTGGACTTAATATTTGTTTCTCATAAGTTGGAGTACTAGTTCCTGAAATTGTACGTAAATATGGTGATGAAGGTGGTGTTGTTCTTATGCCCAGAGAAGGTAAAGAATTACGATTGCTTTCCCCTCTTGATAAAAATAATGATGGGAATTGCCTTCCGTTAGAATTAATTGAAGTTGTAATAAAATTATTATCTTCAATTATTTTAGTATTTTTTGTTTCAAATGACATCATTTCCCTAGGTGCGCTATTATATTTACTTTCTTCTAATTCTTCTATAGGCGTCACAACTTTATTATTATCATTACTATTATTTTTCTTAACGTATGTGCTATTTTCATCCAAATCTGAATTTATTTTACTTGCAATTGCGACTACATTAGAATATGCTGCTGCTGTTAAACTTGCAAATACATTCGATCCCTTTTCTCTCGCTGATGGTGATACATCCCTAGTACCATCATTACTATTATAAATGCCATTGGTTTCGTTATGCGCCTTCCATGGATCCAATCCTGGATCAAAATCAGCCATGGATTTTCCAAATGGAGAAATATTTGATATAACCGATGTTATATCTTCCATAAGATTATTGGAATTTAAATCCCCAATTCCTATAGCTCCAAGTGGATCCGTCATAACGTTCAATGATCCTGTTGGACTATCTGATCTCCACTTTCTCGCTCCAATTCCTTCTTCTGATTTTTCATCACTCCCTTCATCTCCATTCCCATTTAATTCTTCATCTTTCTTTCTAAATAACCCTGCCCAATATTTAACATTTTTCGCGTCAGGATATAACACTCCCATGTCTCTTGGATCTCGATCTTCCTTTTCCCCACAATATAACGGATTTAAAAATGCTCCTTTGTTACTATTAAAATAATCCCATACACTATGTGTTTTTTTATTTACATTGTATACATGCCTTTCTTTTTCACTATTAAATAAAAATGTACCAAATTGACACGAATAACTGTGATAATGTAAATCTACCAAAAATCTTTCATTAAATTCAAACCGTGTCGTATTTTGTTGAAATAATTGATAAACGCAATCCAGAAATTGATGAAATACCGGAGATGTTTCACGAACGTGTGACTGTTTAAATTTGCTTTGTACTGAACTAAATGCTGATCCTGCAGCATTCGTATTTGATGCATTAATGAAATACCGTTCATTCGATAGATGTCCGGATCGGTCACTGAATTTGTGCCCAAATGACACCCACTCTTTTTCAATTAATACTTGAAATCCATGAAAAGTACGATAATACGGGTCCAAGCATAATTCTGAAATCGAGGTTAATTGTGCTGTACGGTCCCATCCATCTGAACAATGCACAAGTACGTGTGAAGCCTTGACATTTACATTTTCAATAATCACAAATGCTGAATTCAGCAATACACTTATATGTTTAAGCCAATTAGACTTATCTAATTGATATTTCTTTATATGTAGTCCTTGTGAATCTGCTGCCTGTAACACTAAATAAATAAAGTTGACTTCTATTTAAAAAAAAAATTTCACTCGAAATAATTTAATAATAAATGATTATTATTTACCCTCTACTATTTTCGCCAAACTTTCCCTCATTACATGGATATTATCAATACCCATGAATCTTTTTTCGCAATTTTTATAATATTCTGTATTTTCTGATCCAAGTCCCATTGCTGTATTAGCCATTGCGTTCGCTGTTGGTCGTGCATCAATGATCAAATTATGGGCTGTCGATCCGTACACAGGCCGTCCATTAGGTGAAATATTCAGATGTGATTCAAAAATCAACTGAATAAGTTTTTCATCTTGTATTGAACGCTTTTGCTGAATTCCAACCATTGGTTGACTGGACCGTGTTATTGAGGCCTAAATCACATTAATAAATAAATTGTATCTATAAAATTTGAAGCTTTCAGGACATAAGTACCATAAATACCTTGTTGCGGTGCAAATAACTTAAAGTTGGTATGCGAGATTTACTTCTGAATTTAGCTGCATATTGCAAATGGCTATCGCTAATTTTGTGGGGAACGACCAAAATAAATGGATAAGTAGGACAGAACTAAAATCAAAATCAATATAATTATTACTAATTGATCCAAAAAAGAAAAATTATAAATGAAATAAAGTTTATGTACGTTATAGCTTCGATTCACGTGCGAAAATCTCCACGATTCCGTTATGGTACAGACACCCATCCGGTCAAATTCTTTTAGTGGATCGTAGACGTTCCATCCGTCTTGACATTTGAATTCTTTCTCGGGTGTATAATAAAATGCATAAACCTGACTAATAGAACCTTTACCAAAAAAAAAGAAAGAATATAATTGTAATCAAATAGATTAATTTATTAAATATGAAAAAAGAAATCGGAAAATCCTAGGTTTTCCAAAAAAAATTTAGATGCGTTATATAATGAAGATACATAAGACGATTCACATACTGATACAGGTTAATTTTTGTATTGTATCAAATACATCGATCGCTTCGCGTTCCACTGGTACCGATAACGTAACAAAAATAAAGTTACGACATTTGATGAGCAAAGGCCAGAGTTTTGGCTCTGAAGTTGGCGGACGACGTTCAACGGTATGAATAATTGGATATGAAATCTGTTAATTAATAAGACCAATGGTCAATGTTTAAATTATTTTATTTATATCTCCTTGGAACTAAACGTGATACATTTTTAGTATACGTTGAAAGATTACTTAAATCATCCAAAGAAAAGAACCTAGAAAACTTCAATGATCTACCACGCCTAAGTAAATTATCTCATATTGGACTTTGGTCCTTACCAATCCTTCAAGATCAAGAATCAAAGATATTGAGTAAAATAAATTGCTACTTACCCATAACTCTTCTTTTTCATTAGAATATTTAAAAATCATTTGGTGTGTTGTTAAGTGTAGCGTACCCTCAATAACTTCCTGCGATTTTTCAAGTTGAACATTTTGGACCTATATCATCACGAAATTTGAATTTATCAAAATATAAATATAATTCCATCAAAACAAATATTAGCAATTAATAACAAAGTTAACAGTTTGTCCTGAAGTAATATGATGGCGAACCTTTGTGAGCTTAAGAAAGTCCATGTCGACTATAATTTTATCAGCCGTGTTAAACAAAGGTTGTTTATGACGACCAATTGCTTTGTGAACTAACTTTTTAAACTTAAAGTGCTTCAATTTTGCTAATTTTTTAAAAAAAAAAAAAAAAATGTAATCTAATAATTTTTTGGAATATGTCCAAGATATCCTAACAAGGGAGTTGGTGCGACAATAATGACAATGATGCAATTGGTAACACCTTATTTTTATGCGGAAAAATTTTTTGCTGAATCTAGAAATCTCGTTTATCATTCAAAAATCGTTCCCATATGAAATGTTCCCCCGAATTTTATTCCATTAATAAAACAAATTCACGAAAATTTCTTAATTTAAATTCAAACACACCAATCTAAAGGTCATAACTATTTTTCTTTTTTAAAATTATAATACACGGAAATTTACCTTCAAAATGCATCTTGAAATCGAACGTCTTTGCAAATTGAAAGCTGACGGAACTTTTTTGTTTAGGGATGTATCATTATCTTTGAAAGATAAAGAAATCCTGTCTATTTCAGGACCAAGTGGAGTTGGGTAAGTATTTCCTGATTTAAATTAAATGTAAACTTTGTAATATTGATTATGTCTATTTAAAGGAAGACGACATTACTTAAATGCATTGCACAGTTGACGTTGTACGAGGAAGGAATAATTTACTTGGACAGAAAGTAAGTAATTATGAATTGAAAATTAATGTGCTAACCTTTCTTATTACTTACATAATTAATCTAATTAATAGGACTCCAGAGGATTACGGAATTCCTAATTGGAGAACTCGTGTTATGTATGTTCCGCAAAGAGCTCGTATGTAGATAATTAAATAATTGATTTCCTTATTCGAACAATCAAGATAATTCCTAATTGAACTTGTAATGTTATTAGCCATAATGCCGGGTACTCCAATGGAATTCTATACAAAAATGCTATCGTTTAAACAGCAGAGAACGAGAAATTGCCACGTCGATCCTGTAAGTTTTCTGCAATATTTATTTGAAATTGCTTTTTGGTTCATATTAACATATATATCTTTTTAATTGTAGATTGAACTTTCCCAACAGTAAGAGAACATTACTATGATTTCTTATTCACGTTCAATACTAATTTGCTGTTTCTTTAGATGGAATGTTAGGGACGAATTATGGGACAAGGAATGGAATCAGTTGTCAGGAGGAGAGATTCAGCGTATTTCTTTAGCAATTGCTTTATCTTGTAAACCCGATGTGTTACTTCTCGATGGTAAATACATGGCGTTATAAATTTTACCATAATCGTATATTAGCTTAATTTTTTTTCTTTTTTGTCCTTATAGAACCAACATCTGCTCTTGATCCCGACACGTGTCTTTTGGTTGAGGAGGCGCTTAAAGAATACGCGTGTATCCTGGTGACACATAATCCAGAACAAGAAAGACGTATCGCGACAACTTCGATAAGATTGAGGCATTATACAAATATTGAAGATAATGCAGATGTATTGATGGACATTTAAACATGCTAACAATGCATAATTAAAGTGTTCCCGTATTTTACGAACTTTACACATTATTTATTTATTTATTTTAGCATTTAGAAATATATATTTAATATTTTTTTTCTAATGATGTTAGTAGGTGATCACGTGTGATCGACTACTCTTATTTAATTTATCCTTATGTAGTAATATTATAGCATTTTTTTATCACTATACTGTATCTGTTTAAGGGAACATTAATTTGACCCTATTTAAACAAATCAAAAATGGAAATTGCTAACGTTTCCTCTTATATAAAGTTTATTTAAATATTAATATTATTCTGCTTAATTGAATATTTATTAGGAGTTTATTAATTAAACTAGCCAGTATTTTTGGGTCCAGTACTCAAGGGTAATAGGTAATATAGGAATGGTTTAATAAGTATATTACGTAAATTTGTTAGTCAGCGGTATACAAAAAATATGCTAAGATCGAAAATTAAGGGTCGAGATTTTTTTTTTTTTTTTTTTTTTTTTTTTTTTTAGTTTTTAGTATAAGCCAATTTGTAGATACAAATACAAAAATTTAAATTTTTCTAATAAATAAAAAAATGTAAAAATGAAATCCTATTATAAAATAATTGTAAAACAAAAACAATATAACAAATAAAACTCGGAAATAAAAATTTTTTATTTTAAAAAAAAAATGCAGAAATATCATGAATATTAAAGACGTTATCATCAAAAATAAGAGTATATCAGATCAGAAAAAAAGATGAGAATTCAAATTAGAAAGGTCAGCTAACCTTTGATATTCTAAAATAATAACTGCTCTGTCAAAATTAAAGGTTTCAATATTATTCTAGATTGGATACCTGCTGCATTAGTCTGACTAGAAAAAATATTTTCATTTAATGCTAAACATATTCTTGATAAGATCAGATTCTGTATTTTATAGATAATAAGGGTAAAGCAATTCTAAAAGAAAAATTGTGTATAATGACATTTATTTTCATTGATTTCAAAATAATGCATTTGTTTATAAATATCTATATCAATTAGTGATATCTATCTAATTCTTTTTTTGAAAAATTATAATTTCAATATAAAAAACTTTTTTTACTTTTTTACAAAAATAACTAAAAATGCCAATTACTTGACAAATAAAAATTAAAAATGCTTAAAAATCTTATCAAACTATTATAAATAATAAAAGAAACAACAATAACTCTAAAAATAATACTGACTCTAACTCTTCAAGCAACTTCAATAAACAATAAGAATAAATAAAAAACAAAAATTTGTTAGTGATACTCCTTCTCAAACTCAAAAAATTCCTTTAGAAAAAAACTATCAACAATAATATTATTGGCAACGTTATCTTTACTTCATCTCTTATTGACTCAACTGTCAAACCTAAAAATTCAGAAATAATAGATATTGACTTAACTTTCTTTATCTCAAATAAAAATATGCCTTTTCTTTTAGTTAAATATCTATTAATAACTCTATGTACGCTTCTATTTCTTCTAAAGATAATTATAATAACAACAATAAATTACATTTAATCACAAAACAACCTCTAGTCAATAAAGGTAAACAAAAGAAAACCTGGTTCGACGAAATGAAAAATGATAATAAACCATATAAATAAGATAATAATGAATTTTCTTTCAATATTATTACTGCATCTAAGGTTGCTAGATGAAATCAAGAGTTTAGACAGACGTCTAAATGGTAAAAGTAAAACTTGGTTAAATTATATTAAAACCTTATTAAAAAATCTGCGAAATTTGGAAAAAGGTAAAACTATATCAAAGTTTATAAAAATAGTGAAACTATATCAAACACTTAGTAAAAATTTAGCGAAACTAAATGTTTTACTGTTTTGTCAAATCCAAAATGAGTTTAGACAAGCAACCTTAACTGCATCTATACATTTTTATGTGACTGATAATACGTTAGATATAAAAGAAAATCTATAACTGAAAATGCTCATTAATCAACTTCTTATTTATTTACTATTATAGTTATCAAAACTTAAGTTTTTTGTTTATTTTAATATAATGGTTTCCCTAAAATATTTAATCACAAAAACACAAGAAATACAATATAATCCTACTTTTACAATTGTAAATCTTATAATGAAACAACAAATAATGCTGAAAAAGGCAGAACTATTAAAATCTCAGATATCCCCTTATTTATCAAATCTAATGTAATAAAAAATTACTTTATTAAACATAGCAAGATCTCCTATTTTTTAATGATCATCAGAGAATTCTGATAAACCACTTTCATTGTGTTTGAAGGTCTTAATTTTATCAAAAATTTTATAATGATATTTGGTCCATATTTTTTTTGAAAATTTTTCTTAAAGTAAAATCAATTGATCTAAATCTCATTCAAATTACTTTATAATAACAATTTGAATTGAAATTAATAGGCTTGCTCTTTAATACTGATCAAAAACAACTTATCGATTTACTAATTCATATTAAGCTAAATCTACTTTATACCATGTGACTAACAATTAGAATTTTATAATTCAATTTGATATTTAAATATTTGATTTGATTTAATCAAATTCAAATCAAAAATTGATTTATTTGATCAATTTAAATTAATATTTGATTTGATTCAATCAAATTCAAATTAAGTATTCAAATATTTGATTTGATATAAATCAATAGTAAAGTCATCTCTAAAGTTTCAGGAGGTGGCTCTTACTAAGAAACTCATAATAAAAAAAATACATATGCAGTTTCAGAAATACCTTTTTTACTAAAAAAAACCATAGTAAAAGTACCTCCATAGCATCGGAAATGCCTTTTTTACTAAGAAAAATATAGTAAAAAACGCCTTCACGAGTTACTAAACTTATTTTGTAAAAGCTATCTTTGAAATTTTTTAGTGCAATTACTAATAATTTTCTTAATTAAAACTT